AAACACAAGCATGCATCCAGACACAAGCATGCGACCGGGCACAAGCATGCGTCCAAACACAAGCATGCGTCCGGACACAAGCATGCGTCCGGACACAAGCATGCGTCCGGACACAAGCATGCGACCGGACACAAGCATGCGTCCGGACACAAGCATGCGACCGGGCACAAGCATGCGTCCAAGCACAAGCATGCGTCCGGACACAAGCATGTGTCCGGACACAAGCATGCGACCGGACTCAAGCATGCGTCCGGACACAAGCATGCGACCGGACACAAGCATGCGTCCGGACACAAGCATGCGTCCGGACACAAGCATGCGTCCGACACAAGCATGCGTCAGGGCACAAGCATGCGTCCGGACACAAGCATGCGTCCGGACACAAGCATGCGTCCGGACACAAGCATGCATCCGGACACAAGCATGCGTCGGACACAAGCATGCGTCCGAACACAAGCATGCGTCCGGACACAAGCATGCGTCCGGACACAAGCATGCGTCCGGACACAAGCATGCGACCGGACACAAGCATGCGTCCGGACACAAGCATGCGACCGGGCACAAGCATGCGTCCAAACACAAGCATGCGTCCGGACACAAGCATGCGTCCGGACACAAGCATGCGACCGGACACAAACATGCGTCTGGACACAAGCATGCGTCCGGACACAAGCATGCGACCGGACTCAAGCATGCGTCCGGACACAAGCATGCGTCCGGACACAAGCATGCGTCCGGACACAAGCATGCGTCCGGACACAAGCATGCGTCCGGACACAAGCATGCATCCGGACACAAGCATGCGACCGGACTCAAGCATGCGGTCAGACACAAGCATGCGACGGGACACAAGCATGCGTCCGGACTCAAGCATGCGTCCGGACACAAGCATGCGTCCGGAGACAAGCATGCGACCGGACACAAGCATGCGTCCGGACACAAGCATGCGTCCGGGCTCAAGCATGCGTCCGGACACAAGCATGCGGTCGGACACAAGCATGCGTCCGGACACAAGCATGCGTCCGGACACAAGCATGCGTCCGGACACAAGCATGCGTCCGGACACAAGCATGCGACCGGGCACAAGCATGTGTCCAAACACAAGCATGCGTCCGGACACAAGCATGCGTCCGGACACAAGCATGCGACCGGACACAAGCATGCGTCCGGACAGAAGCATGCGTCCGGACACAAGCATGCGACCGGACTCAAGCATGTGTCCGGACACAAGCATGCGTCCGGACACAAGCATGCGACCGGACACAAGCATGCGTCCGGACACAAGCATGCGACCGGACTCAAGCATGCGGTCGGACACAAGCATGCGACCGGACACAAGCATGCGTCCGGACACAAGCATGCGTCCGGACACAAGCATGCGTCCGGACACAAGCATGCGACCGGACACAAGCATGCGTCCGGACACAAGCATGCGTCCGGGCTCAAGCATGCGTCCGGACACAAGCATGCGGTCGGACACAAGCATGCGTCCGGACACAAGCATGCGTCCGGACACAAGCATGCGTCCGGACACAAGCATGCGTCCGGACAGAAGCATGCGTCCGGACACAAGCATGCGACCGGACTCAAGCATGTGTCCGGACACAAGCATGCGTCCGAACACAAGCATGCGACCGGACACAAGCATGCGTCCGGACACAAGCATGCGTCCGGACACAAGCATGCGACCGGACTCAAGCATGCGGTCGGACACAAGCATGCGACCGGACACAAGCATGCGTCCGGACACAAGCATGCGTCCGGACACAAGCATGCGTCCGGACACAAGCATGCGTCCGGACACAAGCATGCGTCCGGACACAAGCATGCGTCCGGACACAAGCATGTGACCGGACACAAGCATGCGTCCGGACACAAGCATGCGACCGGGCACAAGCATGCGTCCAAACACAAGCATGCGTCCGGACACAAGCATGCGTCCGGACACAAGCATGCGACCGGACTCAAGCATGCGTCCGGACACAAGCATGCGACCGGACACAAGCATGCGTCCGCACACAAGCATGCGTCCGGACACAAGCATGCGTCGGACACAAGCATGCGTCAGGGCACAAGCATGCGTCCGGACACAAGCATGCGTCCGGACACAAGCATGCGTCCGGACACAAGCATGCGTATGGACACAAGCATGCGTCCGGAAGCAAGCATGCGACCGGACTCAAGCATGCGTCCGGACACAAGCACGCGTCCGGACACAAGCATGCGTCGGACACAAGCATGCGTCCGGACACAAGCATGCGTCCGGACACAAGCATGCGTCCGGACACAAGCATGCGTATGGACACAAGCATGCGTCCGGAAGCAAGCATGCGACCGGACTCAAGCATGCGTCCGGACACAAGCACGCGTCCGGACACAAGCATGCGTCGGACACAAGCATGCGTCCGGACACAAGCATGCGTCCGGACACAAGCATGCGTCCAGACACAAGCATGCGTCCGGACACAAGCATGCTTCCGGACACAAGCATGCGTCCGGACACAAGCATGCGACCGGGCACAAGCATGCGTCCAAACACAAGCATGCGTCCGGACACAAGCATGCGTCCGGACACAAGCATGCGTCCGGACACAAGCATGCGTCCGGACACAAGCATGCGACCGGACACAAGCATGCGTCCGGACACAAGCATGCGACCGGAAACAAGCATGCGTCCAAACACAAGCATGCGTCCGGACACAAGCATGTGTCCGGACACAAGCATGCGACCGGACTCAAGCATGCGTCCGGACACAAGCATGCGACCGGACACAAGCATGCGTCCGGACACAAGCATGCGTCCGGACACAAGCATGCGTCCGACACAAGCATGCGTCAGGGCACAAGCATGCGTCCGGACACAAGCATGCGTCCGGACACAAGCATGCGTCCGGACACAAGCATGCATCCGGACACAAGCATGCGTCGGACACAAGCATGCGTCCGAACACAAGCATGTGTCCGGACACAAGCATGCGTCCGGACACAAGCATGCGTCCGGACACAAGCATGCGACCGGACACAAGCATGCGTCCGGACACAAGCATGCGACCGGGCACAAGCATGCGTCCAAACACAAGCATGCGTCCGGACACAAGCATGCGTCCGGACACAAGCATGCGACCGGACACAAACATGCGTCCGGACACAAGCATGCGTCCGGACACAAGCATGCGACCGGACTCAAGCATGCGTCCGGACACAAGCATGCGTCCGGACACAAGCATGCGTCCGGACACAAGCATGCGTCCGGACACAAGCATGCGTCCGGACACAAGCATGCATCCGGACACAAGCATGCGACCGGACTCAAGCATGCGGTCAGACACAAGCATGCGACGGGACACAAGCATGCGTCCGGACTCAAGCATGCGTCCGGACACAAGCATGCGTCCGGAGACAAGCATGCGACCGGACACAAGCATGCGTCCGGACACAAGCATGCGTCCGGGCTCAAGCATGCGTCCGGACACAAGCATGCGGTCGGACACAAGCATGCGTCCGGACACAAGCATGCGTCCGGACACAAGCATGCGTCCGGACACAAGCATGCGTCCGGACACAAGCATGCGACCGGGCACAAGCATGTGTCCAAACACAAGCATGCGTCCGGACACAAGCATGCGTCCGGACACAAGCATGCGACCGGACACAAGCATGCGTCCGGACAGAAGCATGCGTCCGGACACAAGCATGCGACCGGACTCAAGCATGTGTCCGGACACAAGCATGCGTCCGGACACAAGCATGCGACCGGACACAAGCATGCGTCCGGACACAAGCATGCGTCCAGACACAAGCATGCGACCGGACTCAAGCATGCGGTCGGACACAAGCATGCGACCGGACACAAGCATGCGTCCGGACACAAGCATGCGTCCGGACACAAGCATGCATCCGGACACAAGCATGCGTCCGGACACAAGCATGCGTCCGGACACAAGCATGCGTCCGGACACAAGCATGCGACCGGACACAAGCATGCGTCCGGACACAAGCATGCGTCCGGGCTCAAGCATGCGTCCGGACACAAGCATGCGGTCAGACACAAGCATGCGTCCGGACACAAGCAAGCGTCCGGACACAAGCATGCGTCCGGACACAAGCATGCGTCCGGACAGAAGCATGCGTCCGGACACAAGCATGCGACCGGACTCAAGCATGTGTCTGGACACAAGCATGCGTCCGAACACAAGCATGCGACCGGACACAAGCATGCGTCCGGACACAAGCATGCGTCCGGACACAAGCATGCGACCGGACTCAAGCATGCGGTCGGACACAAGCATGCGACCGGACACAAGCATGCGTCCGGACACAAGCATGCGTCCGGACACAAGCATGCGTCCGGACACAAGCATGCGTCCGGACACAAGCATGCGTCCGGACACAAGCATGCGTCCGGACACAAGCATGTGACCGGACACAAGCATGCGTCCGGACACAAGCATGCGACCGGGCACAAGCATGCGTCCAAACACAAGCATGCGTCCGGACACAAGCATGCGTCCGGACACAAGCATGCGACCGGACTCAAGCATGCGTCCGGACACAAGCATGCGACCGGACACAAGCATGCGTCCGCACACAAGCATGCGTCCGGACACAAGCATGCGTCGGACACAAGCATGCGTCAGGGCACAAGCATGCGTCCGGACACAAGCATGCGTCCGGACACAAGCATGCGTCCGGACACAAGCATGCGTATGGACACAAGCATGCGTCCGGAAGCAAGCATGCGACCGGACTCAAGCATGCGTCCGGACACAAGCATGCGTCCGGACACAAGCATGCGTCGGACACAAGCATGCGTCCGGACACAAGCATGCGTCCGGACACAAGCATGCGTACAGACACAAGCATGCGTCCGGACACAAGCATGCGACCGGACACAAGCATGCTTCCGGACACAAGCATGCGACCGGGCACAAGCATGCGTCCAAACACAAGCATGCGTCCGGACACAAGCATGCGTCCGGACACAAGCATGCGACGTGGACATGGACGTGGACGTGGACGTAGAAATGGACGTGGACGTGGACGTGGAAGTGGATATGGACGTGGACGAGGACATGGACGTGGACGTGGACGTGGACATGGACGTGGACGTGGACGTAGAAATGGACGTGGACATGGACGTGGACATGGTTGTGGACGTGGACGTGGACGTGGACGTGGACGTGGACATGGACGTGGACGTGGACGTGGACGTGGACGTGGACATGGACGTGGACATGGAGGTGGACGTGGACGTGGACGTGGACGTGGACGTGGACATGGACGTGGACGTGGACGTGGACGTGGACATGGACATGGACATGGACGTGGACGTGGACGTGGAGGTGGACATGGACGTGGACGTGGACGTGGACGTGGACGTTGACGTGGACGTAGACGTGGACGTGGACGTGGACGTGGACGTGGACGTGGACGTAGACATGGACGTTGGACGTGGACGTGGACGTGGACGTAGACATGGACGTGGACGTGGACGTGGACGTGGACATGGACGTGGACGTGGACGTGGACGTGGACGTGGACGTAGAAATGGACGTGGACGTGGACATGGACGTGGACGTGGACGTGGACGTAGAAATGGACGTGGACGTGGACGTGGACGTGGACGTGGACGTGGACATGGACGTGGACATGGACGTGGACGTGGACGTGGACATGGACGTGGACGTGGACGTGGACGTGGACGTGGACGTGGACGTGGACGTGGACGTGAACGTGGACGCAGACGTGGACGTGGACGTGGACATGGACGTGGACGTGGACGTGGACGTGGACGTGGACATGGACGTAGACATGGACGTAGACGTGGACGTGGACGTGGACATGGACATGGACGTGGACATGGACGTGGACGTGGACGTGGACGTGGACGTGGACGTGGACATGGACGTGGACGTGGACGTAGAGATGGACATGGACGTGGACGTGGACATGGACGTGGACGTAGAAATGGACGTGGACGTGGACGTGGACATGGACGTGGACGTGGACATGGACGTGTACGTGGACGTGGACATGGACGTGGACATGGACGTGGACATGGACGTGGACGTGGACATGGACGTGGACATGGACGTGGACGTGGACGTCGACGTGGACGTGGAAATGGACGTGGACGTGGACGTAGAAATGGACGTGGACGTGGACGTGGACGTGGACATGGACGTGGACATGGACATGGACGTGGACGTAGACGTGGACGTGGACATGGACATGGACGTGGACGTGGACGTGGACGTGGACGTGGACGTGGGCGTGGACGTGGACGTGGACGTGGACGTGGACGTGGACGTAGAAATGGACGTGGACGTGGACGTGGACGTGGACATGGACGTGGACGTGGACGTGGATGTGGACGTGGACATGGACGTGGACGTGGACGTGGAGATGGACGTGGACGTGGACGTGGACGTGGACGTGGACGTGGACATGGACGTGGACGTGGACATGGACGTAGACATGGACGTGGACATGGACGTGGACGTCAACGTGGATATGGACGTGTACATGGACGTGGACGTGGACGTGGACGTGGACGTGGACGTGGACGTGGACGTGGACGTAGACGTAGACGTGGACGTGGACGTGGACGTGGACGTGGACATGGACGTGGACATGGACGTGGACATGGACGTGGACGTGGACGTGGACGTAGACGTAGACGTGGACGTAGACGTGGACGTGGACGTGGACATGGACGTGGACGTAGACGTGGACGTGGACGTGGACGTGGACGTGGACGTGGACGTGGGCGTGGACGTGGACGTGGACATGGACGTAGACGTAGAAATGGACGTGGACGTGGACATGGACGTGGACGTGGACATGGACGTGGACGTGGACGTGGACATGGACGTGGACATGGACATGGACATGGACGTGGACGTGGACATGGACGTGGACGTGGACCTGGACGTGGACGTGGACGTGGAAATGGAAGTGGACGTGGACGTAGAAATGGACGTGGACGTGGACGTGGACATGGACGTGGACGTGGACATGGACGTGGACGTAGACGTGGACGTGGACATGGACGTGGGCGTGGGCGTAGACGTGGACGTGGACGTGGACGTGGACGTGGACGTGGATGTGGACGTGGACATGGACATGGAAGTGGACGTGGACGTGGACGTAGAAATGGACGTGGACATGGACGTGGACATGGACGTGGACGTGGACGTGGACGTGGACGTGGACGTGGACATGGACGTGAACGTGGACGTGGACATGGACGTGGACATGGACGTGGACATGGACGTGGACATGGACGTGGACGTGGACGTGGACGTGGACCTGGACGTGGACCTGGACGTGGACGTGGACGTGGACGTGGACGTGGACATGGACGTGGACATGGACGTGGACGTGGACGTGGACGTGGACGTGGACGAGGACGTGGACATGGACGTGGACGTGGACGTGGACGTGGACGTGGACGTGGACGTAGACGTGGACGTAGACGTGGACGTGGACGTGGACATGGACGTGGACATGGACGTGGACTTGGACGTGGACGTGGACGTGGACGTGGACGTAGACGTGGACCTGGACGTGGACGTGGACATGGACGTGGACGTGGACATGGACGTGGACGTGGACATGGACGTGGACGTGGACGTGGACATGGACATGGACGTGGACATGGACATGGACGTGGACGTGGACGTGGACATGGACGTGGACGTGGACGTGGACGTGGACGTAGAAATGGACGTGGACGTGGACGTGGACATGGACGTGGACGAAGAAGTGGACGTGGACGTGGACATGGACGTGGACGTGGACATGGACGTGGACGTGGACGTGGACGTGGACGTAGACGTAGACATGGACGTGGACATGGAGGTGGACGTGCACGTGCACGTGGACATGGACGTGGACGTGGACGTGGACGTGGTCGTGGACATGGACGTGGACATGGACGTGGACGTGGACGTGGACGTGGACATGGACGTGGACGTGGACGTGGACGTGGACGTAGAAATGGACGTGGACGTGGACGTGGACATGGACGTGGACGTGGACATGGACGTGTACGTGGACGTGGACATGGACGTGGACATGGACGTGGACATGGACGTGGACGTGGACATGGACGTGGACATGGACGTGGACGTGGACGTCGACGTGGACGTGGAAATGGACGTGGACGTGGACGTAGAAATGGACGTGGACGTGGACGTGGACGTGGACATGGACGTGGACATGGACATGGACGTGGACGTAGACGTGGACGTGGACATGGACATGGACGTGGACGTGGACGTGGACGTGGACGTGGACGTGGACGTGGGCGTGGACGTGGACGTGGACGTGGACGTGGACGTGGACGTAGAAATGGACGTGGACGTGGACGTGGACGTGGACATGGACGTGGACGTGGACGTGGATGTGGACGTGGACATGGACGTGGACGTGGACGTGGAGATGGACGTGGACGTGGACGTGGACGTGGACGTGGACGTGGACATGGACGTGGACGTGGACATGGACGTAGACATGGACGTGGACATGGACGTGGACGTCAACGTGGATATGGACGTGTACATGGACGTGGACGTGGACGTGGACGTGGACGTGGACGTGGACGTGGACGTGGACGTGGACGTAGACGTAGACGTGGACGTGGACGTGGACGTGGACGTGGACATGGACGTGGACATGGACGTGGACATGGACGTGGACGTGGACGTGGACGTAGACGTAGACGTGGACGTAGACGTGGACGTGGACGTGGACATGGACGTGGACGTAGACGTGGACGTGGACGTGGACGTGGACGTGGACGTGGACGTGGGCGTGGACGTGGACGTGGACATGGACGTAGACGTAGAAATGGACGTGGACGTGGACATGGACGTGGACGTGGACATGGACGTGGACGTGGACGTGGACATGGACGTGGACATGGACATGGACATGGACGTGGACGTGGACATGGACGTGGACGTGGACCTGGACGTGGACGTGGACGTGGAAATGGAAGTGGACGTGGACGTAGAAATGGACGTGGACGTGGACGTGGACATGGACGTGGACGTGGACATGGACGTGGACGTAGACGTGGACGTGGACATGGACGTGGGCGTGGGCGTAGACGTGGACGTGGACGTGGACGTGGACGTGGACGTGGATGTGGACGTGGACATGGACATGGAAGTGGACGTGGACGTGGACGTAGAAATGGACGTGGACGTGGACGTGGACATGGACGTGGACGTGGACGTGGACGTGGACGTGGACGTGGACATGGACGTGAACGTGGACGTGGACATGGACGTGGACATGGACGTGGACATGGACGTGGACATGGACGTGGACGTGGACGTGGACGTGGACCTGGACGTGGACCTGGACGTGGACGTGGACGTGGACGTGGACGTGGACATGGACGTGGACATGGACGTGGACGTGGACGTGGACGTGGACGTGGACGAGGACGTGGACATGGACGTGGACGTGGACGTGGACGTGGACGTGGACGTGGACGTAGACGTGGACGTAGACGTGGACGTGGACGTGGACATGGACGTGGACATGGACGTGGACTTGGACGTGGACGTGGACGTGGACGTGGACGTAGACGTGGACCTGGACGTGGACGTGGACATGGACGTGGACGTGGACATGGACGTGGACGTGGACATGGACGTGGACGTGGACGTGGACATGGACATGGACGTGGACATGGACATGGACGTGGACGTGGACGTGGACATGGACGTGGACGTGGACGTGGACGTGGACGTAGAAATGGACGTGGACGTGGACGTGGACATGGACGTGGACGAAGAAGTGGACGTGGACGTGGACATGGACGTGGACGTGGACATGGACGTGGACGTGGACGTGGACGTGGACGTAGACGTAGACATGGACGTGGACATGGAGGTGGACGTGCACGTGCACGTGGACATGGACGTGGACGTGGACGTGGACGTGGTCGTGGACATGGACGTGGACGTGGACGTGGTCATGGACGTGGACGTGGACGTGGACGTGGACGTGAACGTGGACGTGGTCGTGGTCGTGGACGTGGACGTGGACGTGGTCATGGACGTGGACGTGGACATGGACGTGGTCGTGGTCGTGGACATGGACGTGGACGTGGTTGTGGACGTGGACGTGGAGGACGTGGACGTGGAGGACGTGGACGTGGACGTGGAGGACGTGGACGAGGACGTGGAGGACGTGGACGTGGACGTGGACGTGGACGTGGAAGTGGACGTGGACGTGGACGTGGACCTGGACGTGGACCTGGACGTGGAACTGGACGTGGACGTGGACGTGGACAAGGACGTGGAAGTGGACGTGGACATGGACGTGGACCTGGACGTGGACCTGGACGTGGACATGGACGTGGACATGGACGTGGACATGGACGTGGACGTGGACGTGGACGTGGACGTAGACATGGACGTGGACGTGGACGTGGACGTGCACATGGACATGGACGTGGACGTGGACGTCGACATGGACGTGGACATGGACATGGACATGGACGTGGACGTGGACGTGGACATGGACGTAGAAATGGACGTGGACGTGGACGTAGACATGGACGTAGAAATGGACATGGACGTGGACGTGGACGTGGACGTAGACGTGGACGTGGACGTAGACATGGACGTTGACGTGGACGTGGACATGGACGTGGACGTGGACGTAGAAATGGAGGTGGACGTGGACGTGGACTTGGACGTTGACGTGGACGTGGACCTGGACGTTGACGTGCGCGTGGACGTGGACGTGGACGTGGAGGACGTGGACGTGGAGGTGGACGTGGACGTGGACATGGACGTGGACGGGGACATGGACGAGGACGAGGACGTGGACGTGGACGTGGATGGACGTGGACGTGGACGTGGACGTGGACGTGGTCGTGGACGTGGTCGTGGACGTGGACGTGGACGTGGACCTGGACGTGGACGTTGACGTGGACGTGGACGTGGACGTGGACGTGGAGGACATGGACGTAGACGTGGACGTGGAGGACATGGACGTGGACGTGGACGTGGACGTGGACGTGGACATGGACGTGGACGTGGACGTGGACTAGACGTGGACGTGGACGTGGACGTCGACGTGGACGTGAACGTGGACGTGGACGTGGACGTGGACGAGGAGGAGGACGTGGACATGGACGTGGACGTGGACGTGGACGTGGACGTGGACGTAGAAATGGAGGTGGACGAGGACGTGGACCTGGACGTTGACGTGGACGTGGACCTGGACGTTGATGTGCGCGTGGACGTGGACGTGGACGTGGAGGACGTGGATGTGGACGTGGACGTGGACATGGACGTGGACGTGGACGTGGACGTGGACATGGACCTGGACGTCGATGGCACGTGGACCTGGACGTGGAGGTGGACGTGGAGGACATGGACGTGGACGTGGACGTGGACGTGGACGTGGACGTGGACGTAGAAATGGACGTGGACGTGAACGTGGACGTTGACGCGGACGTGGACGTGGACGTGGACGCCGACGTGGACGTGGACCTGGACGTTGACGTGGATCTGGACGAGGACGTGGACGTGGACGTGGAGGACATGGACGTGGACGTGGACGTGGACGTCGACGTAGAAATGGACGTGGACGTGGACGTGGACGTGGACCTGGACCTGGACCTGGACCTGGACCTGGACGTTGACGTGCACGTGGACGTGGACATGGACGTGGACGTGGAGGACATGGACGTGGACGTGGACGTTGATTTGGACGTGGACGTGGACGTGGACATGGACGTGGACGTGGACGTGGACGTGGACGTGGACGTGGACGTGGACATGGACGTGGACATGGACGTGGACGTGGACGTGGACGTGGACATGGACGTGGACGTGGACGTGGACGTGGACCAGGACGTGGATGTGCACGTGGAGGTGGACGTGGACGTGGACGTGGACGTGGACCTAGACGTTGACGTGCACGTGGACGTGGACCTGGACGTGGACGTGGACGTGCAGGACATGGACGTGGATGTGGACGTGGACGTGGACGAGGACGAGGACGTGGACGTGGACGTGGACGTGGACGAGGACGTGGACGAGGACGTGGACGTGGACGTGGACGTGGACGTGGACGTGGACCTGGACCTGGACGTTGACGTGCACGTGGACGTGGACGTGGACGTGGACGTGGAGGACATGGACGTGGACGTGGACGTGGACGTTGACGTGGACGTGGACGTGGACATGGACGTGGACGTGGACGTGGACGTGGACGTGGACGTGGACATGGACGTGGACGTGGACGTGGACGTGGACGTGGACGTGGACGTGGAGGACATGGACGTGGACGTGGACGTGGACGTTGACGTGGACGTGGACATGGACGTGGACGAGGAGGAGGACAAGGACGTGGACGTGGACGTGGACGTGGAGGTGAACGTGGACGTGGACATGGACGTACACGTGAACGTGGACGTGGACGTGGACATGGACATGGACGTGGACGTGGACGAGGACGTGGACGTGGACGTGGATGGACGTGGACGTGGACGTGGACGTGGACGTGGACGTGGACGTGGATGGACGTGGACGTGGACGTGGACGTGGACGTGGACGTGGAAATGGAAGTGGACGTGGACGTAGAAATGGACGTGGACGTGGACGTGGACATGGACGTGGACGTGGACAGGGACGTAGACGTAGACGTGGACGTGGACATGGACGTGGGCGTGGGCGTAGACGTGGACGTGGACGTGGACGTGGACGTGGACGTGGACATGGACATGGACGTGGACGTGGATGTAGAAATGGACGTGGACGTGGACGTGGACATGGACGTGGACGTGGACGTGGACGTGGACGTGGACGTGGACATGGACGTGAACGTGGACGTGGACATGGACGTGGACATGGACGTGGACATGGACGTGGACATGGACGTGGACGTGGACGTGGACGTGGACGTGGACGTGGACCTGGACGTGGACGTGGACGTGGACGTGGACGTGGACGTGGACGTGGACGTGGACGTGGACGTGGACGTGGACGTGGACGAGGACGTGGACATGGACGTGGACGTGGACGTGGACGTGGACGTGGACGTGGACGTGGACGTGGACGTGGACGTGGACGTAGACGTAGACGTGGACGTAGACGTGGACGTGGACGTGGACATGGACGTGGACATGGACGTGGACTTGGACGTGGACGTGGATGTGGACGTGGCCGTGGACGTGGACGTGGCCGTGGACGTGGACATGGACGTGGACGTGGACGTGGACATGGACGTGGACGTAGAAGTGGACGTGGACGTGGACGTGGACGTGGACGTGGACATGGACGTGGACGTGGACGTGGACGTGGACGTGGACGTGGACGTAGACGTAGACATGGACGTGGACATGGAGGTGGACGTGCACGTGCACGTGGACATGGACGTGGACGTGGACGTGGACGTGGTCGTGGACGTGGACGTGGACTTGGACGTGGTCATGGACGTGGACGTGGACGTGGACGTCGACGTGAACGTGGACGTGGTCGTGGTCGTGGACGTGGACGTGGACGTGGTCATGGACGTGGACGTGGACATGGACGTGGTCGTGGTCGTGGACATGGACGTGGACGTGGTTGTGGACGTGGACGTGGAGGACGTGGACGTGGAGGACGTGGACGAGGACGTGGAGGACGTGGACATGGACGTGGACGTGGACGTGGAAGTGGACGTGGACGTGGACGTGGACCTGGACGTGGACCTGGACGTGGAACTGGACGTGGACGTGGACGTGGACAAGAACGTGGAAGTGGACATGGACGTGGACCTGGACGTGGACCTGGACGTGGACATGGACGTGGACATGGACGTGTACATGGACGTGGACGTGGACGTGGACGTGGACGTAGACATGGACGTGGACGTGGACGTGGACGTGCACATGGACATGGACGTGGACGTGGACGTCGACATGGACGTGGACATGGACATGGACATGGACGTGGACGTGGACGTGGACATGGACGTAGAAATGGACGTGGACGTGGACGTAGACATGGACGTAGAAATGGACGTGGACGTGGACGTGGACGTAGACGTGGACGTGGACGTAGACATGGACGTGGACATGGACGTTGACGTGGACGTGGACGTGGACGTGGACGTGGACGTAGAAATGGAGGTGGACGTGGACGTGGACTTGGACGTTGACGTGGACGTGGACCTGGACGTTGACGTGCGCGTGGACGTGGACGTGGACGTGGAGGACGTGGACGTGGAGGTGGACGTGGACGTGGACATGGACGTGGACGGGGACGTGGACGAGGACGAGGACGTGGACGTGGACGTGGATGGACGTGGACGTGGACGTGGACGTGGACGTGGACGTGGACGTGGTCGTGGTCGTGGACGTGGACGTGGACGTGGACCTGGACCTGGACGTTGACGTGGACGTGGACGTGGACGTGGAGGACATGGACGTGGACGTGGAGGACATGGACGTGGACGTGGACGTGGACGTGGAAATGGACGTGGACGTGGACGTGGACGTGGACTAGACGTGGACGTGGACGTGGACGTGGACGTGGACGTGAACGTGGACGTGGACGTGGACGTGGACGAGGAGGAGGACGTGGACATGGACGTGGACGTGGACGTGGACGTGGACGTGGACGTAGAAATGGAGGTGGACGAGGACGTGGACCTGGACGTTGACTTGGACGTGGACCTGGACGTTGACGTGCGCGTGGACGTGGACGTGGACGTCGAGGACATGGATGTGGACGTGGACATGGACGTGGACGTGGACGTGGACGTGGACGTGGACGTGGACCTGGACGTCGATGGCATGGACGTGGATGTGGACGTGGACATGGACGTGGACGTGGACGTGGACGTGGACGTGGACGTGGACGTGGACGTGGACATGGACGTGGACGTGGACGTGGAGGACATGGACGTGGACGTGGACGTGGACGTGGACGTGGACGTAGAAATGGACGTGGACGTGAACGTGGACGTTGACGCGGACGTGGACGTGGACGTGGACGTCGACGTGGACGTGGACCTGGACGTTGACGTGGATCTGGACGAGGACGTGGACGTGGACGTGGAGGACATGGACGTGGACGTGGACGTGGACGTGGACGTGGACCTGGACGTGGACGTGGACGTGGACGTGGACCTGGACCTGGACGTTGACGTGCACGTGGACGTGGACATGGACGTGGACGTGGAGGACATGGACGTGGACGTGGACGTGGACGTTGACGTGGACGTGGACGTGGACGTGGACATGGACGTGGACGTGGACGTGGACGTGGACATGGACGTGGACATGGACGTGGACGTGGACGTGGACGTGGACGTGGACATGGACGTGGACGTGGACGTGGACCAGGACGTGGACGTGCATGTGGAGGTGGACGTGGACGTGGACGTGGACGTGGACCTGGACGTTGACGTGCACGTGGACGTGGACCTGGACGTGGACGTGGACGTGGAGGACATGGACGTGGACGTGGACGTGGATGTGGACGTGGACGAGGACGAGGACGTGGACGTGGACGTGGACGTGGACGAGGACGTGGACGAGGACGTGGACGTGGACGTGGACGTGGACGTGGACGTGGACCTGGACCTGGACGTTGACGTGCACGTGGACGTGGACGTGGACGTGGACGTGGAGGACATGGACGTGGACGTGGACGTGGACGTTGACGTGGACGTGGACGTGGACGTGGACATGGACGTGGACGTGGACGTGGACGTGGACGTGGACGTGGACGTGGACATGGACGTGGACCTGGACGTGGACGTGGACGTGGACGTGGACGTGGACCTGGACCTGGACGTTGACGTGCACGTGGACGTGGACGTGGACGTGGACGTGGAGGACATGGACGTGGACGTGGACGTGGACGTTGACGTGGACGTGGACGTGGACGTGGACGAGGAGGAGGACAAGGACGTGGACGTGGACGTGGACGTGGACGTGGAGGTGGACGTGGACGTGGACGTGGACATGGACGTACACGTGAACGTGGACGTGGACGTGGACATGGACATGGACGTGGACGTGGACGTGGACGTGGACCTGGTCGTGGACGTGGACGTGGACGTGGACGTGGACGTGGACATGGACGTGGACGTGGACGTGGACGTGGACATGGACGTGGACGTGGACGTGGAGGTGGACGTGGACGTGGTCATGGACGTGGACGTGGACGTGGACGTGGACGTGGACGTGGACGTGGACGTGGACATGGACGTGGACATGGACGTGGACATGGACGTGGACGTGGACATGGACGTGGACGTAGACATGGACATGGTCGTGGACATGGACATGGACGTGGACATGGACATGGTCGTGGACATGGACATGGTCGTGGACGTGGACGTGGACATGGACATGGTCGTGGACATGGACATGGTCGTGGACATGGACATGGACGTGGACATGGACGTGGATATGGACATGGTCGTGGACGTGGACGTGGACGTGGACATGGACGTTGACGTGGACATGGACGTGGTCATGGACGTGGACGTGGACGTGGACATAGACGTGGACGTGGACGTGGACATAGATGTGGACGTGGACATAGATGTGGTCGTTGTCGTGGACGTGGACTTGTGTCTTGTCTAGGAGCGTGCCTAGTCCATGAGCTTGCCTTGTCTAGGAGCGTGCCTGGTCAAGGAGCTTGCCTAGTCCATGAGCTTGCCTTGTCTAGGAGCGTGCCTGGTCAAGGAGCTTTCCTGGTCCACGAGCTTGCCTGGTCCAAGAGCTTGCCTGGTCCAAGAGCTTGCCTGGTCCAAGAGCTTGCCTAGTCCACAAGCTTGCCTGGTCCAAGAGCTTGCCTCGTCAAGGAGCTTGCCTGGTTCAGGAGCTGGCCTCGTCTAGGAGCGTGCCTGGTCCTGGAATGTGTCTGGTCCAAAAGAGTGCCTAGTCCATAAGCTTGCCTCGTCTAGGAGCTTGCCTGGTCCAGGAGCTTGCCTGGTCCTGGAGCTTGCCTGATCCTGGAGCTTGCCTGGTCCAAGGCAAGCTAACGGACCAAGAAAGCTCCAGGACAGGGCAGGCTCCTGGACCAGGCACGCTCCTGGAACAGGCAAGCTCCTGGACCAGGCAAAGCTCCTGGACCAGGCAAGCTCTTTGACCAGGCAAGCTCCTGGACTAGGCAAGCTTCTGGACCAGGCACGCTCGTGGACACGGCAAGCTCCTAGACCGGGCAAGCTCTTGGACCAGGCAAGCTCCTGGTCCAGGAAAACTCGTGGACCAGGCACGCTCCTGGACCAGGCAAGATCTTGGACGAGGCAAGCTCCTGGACCAGGCAAGCTCCTAGACCAGGCAAGCTCCTGGACCACGAACGCTCCTGGACCTGGCAAGCTCCTAGACCAGGCAAGATCTTGGACGAGGCAAGCTCCTAGACCAGGCAAGCTCCTGGATCAGGCAAGCTCCTCAACCAGGCACGCTCCTGGACCAGGCAAGCTCCTAGACCAGGCAAGGTCCTGGACCAGGCAAGCTCCTAGACCAGGCAAGCTCGTGGACCAGCCATGCTCTTGGACCAGCCAAGCTCTTGGACAGGGCATGCTCCTAAACCACGAAAGCTCTTGGACCAGGCAATCTCTTGGACCAGGCAAGCTCCTGGACCAGCCAAGCTCCCGGACCATGCAAGCTCGTGGACCAGGCACGGTCCTGGACCAGGCAAGATCCTAGACCAGGCAAGCTCCTGGACCAGGCAAGCTCCTGGACCGGGCAAGCTCGTGGACCGGGCAAGCTCGTGGACCAGGCAAGCTCCTTGACAAGGCAAGCTCCTAGACCAGGCACGCTCCTGGACCAGGCAAGCTCCTAGACCAGGCAAGCTCCTGGACCACGCAAGCTCTTGGACCAGGCACGCTCTTGGACCAGGCAAGCTCTTGGACCAGGTAGGCTTCATCACCGGGCAAGCTGCTGAACAAGGCAAGCTCCTGGACCAGGCAAGATCCTAGTCCAGCCAAGCTCATGGACCACGCAAGCTCCTGGACCAGGAACGCTCGTTGACCAGGCACGCTCTTGGACCAGGCAAGCTCCTAGACCAGGCAAGGTCCTGGACCAGGCAAACTCCTGGACCAGGCAAGCTCATGGACCGGGCACGCTCTGGACCAGGCAAGCTCCTGGACCAGGCAAGCTCCTAAACCACGCGAGCTCTTAGACCGGGCAACCTCGTGGAACACGCAAGCTCGTGGACCAGGCAGGCTCCTGGACCAGGCAAGCTCCTAGACCAGGCAAGCTCCTTGACCAGGCAAGCTCTTGGACCAGGCACGCTCTTGGACCAGGCAGGCTTCTGGACCAAGCAAGCTCCTGGACCACGCAAGCTCCTGGACCAGACAAGCTCGTGGACCAGGCAGGCTCCTGGACCAGGCAAGCTCCTGGACCAAGCAAGCTCCTGGACCAGGCACACTCGTGGACCAGGCACACTCCTGGACCAGGCAAGCTCTTGGACCAGGCACGCTCTTGGACCTGGCAAGCTCTTGGACCACGCAAGCTCCTGGACCAGGCACGCTCCTAGCCTAGGCACGCTCCTGGAACAGGCAACCTCATGGACCAAGCACGCTCCTTGACCAGGCAAGCTCCTGGACGAGGCAAGCTCCTAGACCATGCAAGCTCTTGGACCAAGCACGCTCCTGGACCAGGCAAGCTCTTGGACCAGGCACGCTTCTCGACCAAGCAAGCTCCTGGACCAGGCAAGCTCCTGGACGACGCAAGTTCTTGGACCAGGCAGGCATCTAGACCAAGCAAGCTCCTGGACCTGGCAAGCTCCTGGACCACGCAAGATTCTGGACAAGGCAAGATCCCGGACCAGGCAATATCTTGGACCAGGCAAACTCCCGGTCCAAGGAAGCTCCTGGACCAAGCAAGCTTGTGGACCGGGCACGCTCCTGGACCAGGCAAGTTCCTAGACGAGGCAAGCTCCTGGACCAGGAAGGCTCCTGGACCTTGCAAGCTCCTGGACTTGGCAAGCTCCTGTACCAGGCACGCTCCTGGACCAGGCAAGCTCCTAGACTAGGCAAGCTCCTCGACCACGCAAGCTCTTGGACCAGACAAGCTCCTGGACCGGGCAAGCTCCTAGACCAGTCAAGCTAACGGACCATGATAGCTCCTGGACAAGGCAAGCTCCTGGACAAGGCAAGCTTCCGGACCAGGCACGCTCTTGGACCAGGCAAGCTCATAGACCAGGCAAGCTCCTAGACTAGGCAAGCTCCTGGACCAGGCAAGCTCCTAGACCACGCAAGCTCTTGGACCAGGCAAGCTCTTGGACAAGGCAAGCTTGCCTGGTCCAAGAGCGTGCCTGGTCCAAGAGCTTGCGTGGTCCAGGAGCTTGCCTGGTCTAGGAGCTTGCCTGGTCCAGGAGCGTGCCTGATCTAGGAGCTTGCCTGGTCAAGGAGCTTGCCTGGTCCAAGAGCTTGCCTGGTCCAGGAGCGTGCCTGGTCCAAGAGCTTGCCTGGTCCAGGAGCTTTCATGGTCCAAGAGCTTGCTTGGTCCAGAAGCCTGCCTGGTCCAAAAGCTTGCCTGGTCCAGGAGCTTGCGTGGTCGAGGAGCTCGCCTGGTCCAGGAGCTTGCCTGGTCCAGGAGCTTGCCTTGTCCAAGAGCTTGCCTGGTCCAAGAGCTTGCGTGGTCTAGGAGCTTGCCTGGTCCAGGAGCTTGCCTAGTCTAGGAGCTTGCCTGGTCTAGGAGCTTGCCTGGTCCAAGAGCGTGCCTGGTCCAGAAGCTTGCCTGGTCCAGGAGCTTGCCTGGTCTAGGAGCTTGCATGGTCCAGGAGCGTGCCTGGTCCAGGAGCTTGCCTGGTCCAGGAGCTATCCTGGTCCAGGAGCTTGCCTGGTCAAGGAGCTTGCCTGGTCTAGGAGCTTGCCTTCTGTTCCAAGAGCTTGCTTGGTCCAGAAGCCTGCCTGGTCCAAGAGCTTGCGTGGTCCAGGAGCTTGCGTGGTCCAGGAGCTTGCCTGGTCAAGGAGCTTGCCTGGTCGAGGAGCTTGCCTCGTCCAAGAGCTTGCCTGGTCCAGAAGCTTGCCTGGTCCAGGAGCTTGCCTAGTCCAGCAGCTTGCCTGGTCTAGGAGCTTGCCTTGTCTAGGAGCTTGCTTGGTCCAAGCGCGTTCCTGGTCCATGAGTTTGCCTGGTCCAGAAGCTTGCCCGGTCCAGGAGCTTGCCTGTTCCACGAGCGTGCCTGGTCCAGGAGCTTGCCTTGTCCACGAGCTTTCATGGTCCATTAGCTTGCCTGGTCCAGGAGCTTGCCTGGTCCAGGAGCTTGCCTGGTCCAAGAGCTTGCATGGTCCAGGAGCTTGCGTGGTCCAAGAGCTTGCCTGGTCAGGGAGCTTGCCTGGTCGAGGAGCTTGCCTGGTCTAAGAGCTTGCCTGGTCTAGGAGCTTGTCTAGTCCAGGAGCTTGCCTAGTCCAGCAGCTTGCCTGGTCTAGGAGCTTGCCTGGTCTAGGAGCTTGCATGGTCCAGGAGCGTTCCTGGTCCACGAGTTTGCCTGGTCCAAAAGCTTGCCTCGTCCAGGAGCGTTCCTGTGCCAAGAGCTTGCTTGGTCCAGAAGCCTGCCTGGTCCAAGAGCTTGCCTGGTCCAGGAGTGTGCCTGGTCCAAGAGCTTGCGTGGTCCAGGAGCTTGCGTGGTCCAGGAGCTTGCCTGGTCAAGGAGCTTGCTTGGTCTAGGAGCTTGCCCGGTCCAAGAGCTTGCCTGGTCCAGGAGCATGCCTGGTCCAGGAGCTTGCCTAGTCCAGCAGCTTGCCTAGTCTAGGAGCTTGCCTGGTCTAGGAGCTTGCCTGGTCCAGGAGCGTTCCTGGTCCACGAGTTTGCCTGGTCCACAAGCTTGCCTGGTCCAGGAGCGTTCCTGTGCCAAGAGCTTGCTTGGTCCAGAAGCCTGCCTGGTCCAAGAGCTTGCCTGGTCCAGGAGCGTGCTTGGTCCAAGAGCTTGCGTGGTCCATGAGCTTGCGTTGTCCAGGAGCTTGCCTGGTCAAGGAGCTTGCCTGGACTAGGAGCTTGCCTGGACCAAGAGCTTCCCTGGTCCAGGAGCTTGCCTGGTCCAGGAGCTTGCCTAGTCCAGAAGCTTGCCTGGTCTAGGAGCTTGCCTGGTCTAGGAGCTTGCCTCGTCTAGGAGCGTTCCTGGTCCACGAGTTTGCCTGGTCCAGAAGCTTGCCTGGTCGAGGAGCTTGCCTGTTCCACGAGCGTGCCTGGTCCAAGAGCTTGCCTTGTCCAGGAGCTTTCTTGGTCCGTTAGCTTGCGTGGTCCAGGAGCTTGCCTGGTCCTGGAGCTTTCTTGGTCCAAGAGCTTGCGTGGTCCAAGAGCTTGCCTGGTCCAAGAGCTTGCCTGGTCCACGAGTTTGCCTGGTCCAGAAGCTTGCCTAGGCCAGGAGCTTGCCTGGTCTAGGAGCTTGCATGGTCCAGGAGGGTGCCTGGTCCAGGAGCTTGCCTGGTCCAGGAGCTATCGTGGTCCAGGAGCTTGCCTGGTCAAGGAGCTTGCCTGGTCCAGGAGCTTGCCTTCTGTTCCAAGAGCTTGCTTGGTCCAGAAGCCTGCCTGCTCCAAGAGCTTGTCTGGTCCAGGAGCGTGCCTGGTCCAAGAGCTTGCGTGGTCCAGGAGCTTGCCTAGTCCATGAGCTATCCACAAGTTTGCCTCGTCCA